TGAAGCCATTTACTTAGTGATCGCAGAAGAATTTCCAAACATCAAGTTCCTTTCTTAAATGACCTGTAGTTCTAACCCGAATTATAAATACATGTTATGTCCTGCGGTTGCGCATGTATGTATATAGGTAAGACTAACGAGTCAATTGGGATATTATACCACTAAATTGACTCCATGTTAATCAAGCCTCTTCTTATTAAATGATTTGCCTTTCCCTTTACCTAATTCTACCCAATAACAAGTAATTCATGCATAAATTCAGAAAAATTCTCCTAATATTCAAGGTGCTGGTCTGGTTTTACTATATATTTACTATAATATTAATAATTAGTAATAATAGTAGTAGTAGTATCATAGATATTACTATTATTTGATTATTTGCATTAGCATGAAATCGGAGACTAAAAAGAGCACTCTTCATGACTTAGTCTTAGATAAATGTGAATGTATGGATGGCAAATAGGAGTAAACAATTGTCCTACGACGTAAAAAAGGTTAAAACAGATTCATTTGATTCAGCAGAATTCTCGCACCAACAAAAACCATTAGGCTCACTATAAAATGAAGCAATAGCAACGTTCAATCTTACTGTGATAAAAGAAATCTAGTAATACCCTTTTTGTCTGTATGTCTGCACACAAAACAAATATGACGCAATAATATAAAGTTGAGGTAAAAGAAAAAAATACAATACAAAAAAGCAATTCAACGATAACGTTCAACCAACATCTTAGTGTCATTAAACATCTGAGAGTATAAAAGCCGTCTTTGTGAAAGGGAAACCAGTAACGCCAAAATTTATAAGCTAGATAAAATTAATATAGGTGTAAAGTGGGTTTCAAAGCTATCAGTAAATCTTTAACACGAGTTCCTGACGATCTAGATCCATGAGGTGAGGAAGGACTGATAGATGACTTTCTAAGATGGTTTGAATAGACCTCCCAGTTTCCGTAAGGTATTCTAATCCAAAGTGGACTGAAGTCCGGATATCGCCAAGATTTCATCAATATCAAAAGTGGAAAGTAACGTAATCAATTGGAATGGCAAAACACAAACTTGCCTCAGCAACAGGCCAACTACAAACCTACTATAGGAGAGGTCTGGACTCCCTTGAAATTCACTCCTGTCCTGTGACCCATAGTGCTCATGGCAGTCTGGCGTGGTTGCAACGTGACGAGATTATACGCTGCACAGCCAGGGTTCGATTTTCGTTCTGAGAATTGATGAGACCTAGGCGAGGTCGAAATTGCAAGTCAATCCAGCATAATATTGACTTTTGGGAATCAAAGCTCACTCTTTAATTGAGGGTAAATTCAATTATCAGTACTTCCTCACCCTATACGATCTAGAGTAGAACTATTATTAAATAAAAATGGTCCTCACTTACCAAGAGAGTGGTCAGAATACCTTCTCGAAGGAGGCCGTGGAGAAGGGCCCATCGTAATGATTCAGAGCGGGCCATCGAAGAAGTGTTTTCTGTGTTACTTTTGGAGACAGAAGGCGCATCTAACAAGGGGGCCGACACAACTAAATCTGTGGAAAGTGAATCGTCCTGCTCCGCAGCTGACCTGCAGCCGGAAAACGCCGAAGGACAAGTTGAAGAGTGGTCTTTAGGTGAATGTGGTGAGGTGTAGCTTAAGCCAGAAGCGGTTGAACTGGTAATAGCATCGACAGGACGTGATCGAAGAGAAGGCAAAATAGCAGCTAGATTGGCGAGAAGTTGGGCTATAGCAAGGCGGACGCGCCCAAGTGGTGGAGCAAGAATGCCTACTGTGGTAGGCATTGGGTTGTAAAATTGCTGTGAATAAAAGAGGATTGAAGAAAAAGCAAAGTAAACAAAGTGAAGAAAAAATAGAAGCAAAATAAAAGGCATGCACAAAGGGTAGAAAAGAAAGTGAATAATACAAGTATCAAGAAGTGGCATAAAGCTTGCACGATGAGCCAGTCACAAGAAGCTTGTTTAATAAAAGATTTTTGACTTTCCAGAATAAGATTCAAGTAATAGTAAGCAGTAATATATCGCAAAATAATATACAGCCATAGCGATTCGCTAATAAAAGAAAGTTGTACACAAACTACGAGCAGGACTAGGGAACATTAGGTAAACGATAACACCTGGTGTTAGAATATTGTTCTAAAAACGTTGTAATATTCACAAGTATCATAATTTTCATGAATTCAAGTTGCTGTCCCATTCCTTTGATTGTACCTACCAAAAGACAAGTAGGATGGAATACAAGGCCAATAGCTTAAAAGTTGTGATTATATCTGTGCTAAGTAATCCTCCTTTGATATTCGGTAATCACAATATATGAACCCGGCTCAGTCTAAGAAATAAAAGGTACAACTACATAACGTTATGAGATTATTTGAAACCCAACTTCTCTTTACGTATCATAAAATTAGCCCATTAGATAAGTCGCAAAAGACTTATTTCAACCTGAATGTGAAGCTAAGTTTGTAGCTCGAGTGATAGACACGTGATCGGAGGGTAAGAGGCTGTCTGGATGCGAAGGTGTAAAACTAGTAATGAATGTAATTCATATGTATTATAAGAGAGCTAGTGAGCCAACTATCCTAAACTTAATAACATTAATAAAAGTGGGTTTGGAAAAAATCGCCTTTCCTGATTAAATTTATCATGGCGAAAATTAGGATCAGACACATCATCTATAAACTTATATCATAAGAAATGTGCAGATATAAAAACGAAAGCTGGATTTTGATTAATAATCTGGAGTCGTTGTGCTAAATTTCACTTCGTGTGAAAGTGTCTGATGAGGATATTCAAGGTCCGATCTCATCAGATTATGGTGACTGATTTACGTTGTTCTGTAGTGGTTGGATTTTACTGATAAGTTCAGGTCATGCACTTTACGAGATATCCCACCTTGATTCGGTTGAAAATAGTTCTAATTTTTGTTCGTCATATGGTAGACATAGTCACAGCTGAATTCATTCTTGCAAATGCTGTAAGTGCTAATAAGGATAGCTGGGGCTGGTGATCAGAAGTAACTAAGCGAATGAC